GCCTTCGGCCAATGGCTTCCCCTCTAGACTTCCCCACCCCAGCTGGCAAAAGCCCTGCAAGCCATGGAAAAGCTTTTAGAATTCCGTGGAATTTGTCCCCTCCATTGTGGAGCCCCATCTGCATGCGTCGTTTTTAATAACCTAGATTGCCAACGAAATGTACAGTTTGACTTGTTTATGCTTTCCAGGTTCCCCGGCCTACTTGTGGAAAAGGGAAAAGAAACAAAAGCCCCACCACGACTCGCTCCCTTCGCTCCGCCAGCCTTTCTTTGTAATTTCCCTTGAAAAGAAAAGCAAGCGGAACACGAAAAGCCAGCCAAGTTGAGGGTGGCTGCTTTGCATTCAGGAACGGGGGTCAATCCGACTGCAGCCGAGGTGGGCCAAAACGGGAGCCAGCATCTCTCTGCGTGGACAGAAAAGAAGGCTTATGTTTTAAATGACGGAAATGTGCCTCGTGAACTCTTCCGACAGTTGAAGATGGCCTAGAAAAGTTTGGAGGTTTGGGGGCCTGTCTTCGTTAGCAGATATGCATTAATGAAACGCCGACTTTAAATCTGCCGTTCTCTGCTCCTGACATTCTTTGGAATGAAAATGCTGCTTTGTACCCTCTTACTGGCTGTGCCAGGAAGCTTCTCCTAACACTTAAAACAGAGCCAAGATTGGTGGCATACATCTGTCAAGCCTTCCCATCAAGGCGTTATCTGAAGCATTCACAGGCAGAGCCCGACTAACAACTCAATAGTTGCCGTTCATCGTGCCCAATAACTTCCCAAAACCTATCCCTCCTCAAGAAGAGATTTTATATCAATTGCACTGTTGTCTGTACTCCGTTTATTTAAACGCTATTAAAATTCTGGCCAGCTCTCATTCATGCCAAAATATTAAGATGCGTGAACATCTCTTCTAAATATTCTGTTAAGCATTCTTTTGGAACAATTATATAATGGTTCTATGCCATTTCTCGGGGCAAGGTAGCCACACTGGGATTTATTACTTCATAATAATACTTTCATACAGTCAGTTTGGTCTAGTGGTTAAAGCACCAGGCTAGAAAGCAGGAGACCAAGAGTTCAAATCCTGTCTTAGCCATGAAAGTTGGCTGGCTGGCTTTGGGCCGATCACCAGGAGACTACAAGTTCCAGCCCAGCCAAGCAGCAATGTGAGCAAGTTTAGCCAGAGATGTTCTTAAAGGAGAGGACGTATAAAAATCCAACACACGCAATTCCTGTGGGGAATTCGCCCTTGATGCTGCCCAAAGATAAATAAAGTGTTGAAACGATTCAGCCTGCCTTTCTGGTTTGGGGACTCTTTAGTCACAAACCTAAAGCGTGTATTAAATATGGGAGACAGAAACATTGTTTTTTCTGTAACTTTGTTTTTTTACCTTGTTGTTTTGTCTACTTACAAAGGGTTAGAGAGGAGATTCTTTGGAAAGATTGCTTGACGTGGCTCAGTCAATGGAGAGAGCCAGTTGCCTAATTGTTAAGACACCAGGCTAGGAAGTGGGAGACAGCGAGTTCTAGTCCCGCCAGGAAAGCCAGCTGGGTGACTGTGGGCCAATCATCAGGAGACAGGGAGTTCTAGTCCTGCCTCAGCCATGAAAACCAGCTGGGTGATGTTGGGCCAGTCACTCACTCTCAGCCCAACCCACCTCACAGGATTGTTGTTCTGGGGAAAATCGGAGGACGATGTGTGGATATGTTTACTGCCTGGAGTTATTTGTAAAAATATTAAAGGCAGGATAGAAATAAAATAAACAAATAAACAAACAATGGGAGAGAGAGACTTGTTACATGGGACAACTCTTCGCTTTATAACAAGAATATGTAGATTTTAGGCTTGTAGAGTTGATTGCTTTTTATTTTTTTTAGCCAGAACTCTTGATATCTACCAATTGGAGCCTTGTGCAAAATATTCTGGTTTAATAAATTAAAGAATTCTGAGACCAAGGATTTCCAAAAGCAGTATCTCCCTTCGCCTGATTTTCAGCAATATAAGGCAGAAAATGAATCAGCAATGTTCTTCAGCTTCCAAAAAAGCAACCAGTGGAACAGCTTGCCTCCAGAAATTGTGGGTGCTCCATCACTGGAGGTTTTTAAGAAGAGACAGACACTTGTCTGAGAGGGTATAGGTTCTCTGGCTTGAGCAGAGGGCTGGACTAGAAGACCTCCAAGGTCCCTTTCAGCTCTATTTCTATTTCTATTTTGGCTGCACCAACAAAGGTCAAGATCGCAAGTGATAATACCACTTTATGTCACACTAATGAGGCCACACTTGGTAAAAGGCAGATTTATACGATTTGAAGAGAAATCAGAGTACAGATAGACCTCGACTTACGACCACAATTCGTAATTTTGGTTGCTAAGTGAAACATTTGTTAAGTGAGATTTGTCCCATTTTACGACTTTTCTTGCCACTGTTGTTAACATAATGCGTGGATATCTTGTATTCAGATTGATCTGTCCACATAAAATGCACACCTATATACAACAGATAATATACAATATTAAATAGAATTATGGTATATGATATAATACTGTATGTGGAAATGCATTTTATGTAGTTATAAATATAACAGATAAACTCTCGGGATCACATTTGTGTTTTTGTGTGTCTATTTACACTCCCAATTACTACTCCTTTTCTTTAAAGAAAAAGCTCTTAGTTTTGCCTTCTTTCCCTTTTCCCCTTACATTCTTCGTCGTTTTTACCTTTTATTTAATTATGAGGGCCGAAGTAAGAAAAAAGAAGTGAGGAGTGACTCCACAGTGACGTCCCAATAAAGATTAACGTAAGGCTGGGGACAATGGGACGTGTAATCCCAACCTCTCTTCTTTCCCCGCCCGCGAGGAAAACGGGCTAGGAAGAACTGCAGCCCTGGCCACTAATGATAATGACTGAATAAAGAAATAATTACCCGCCTTGGTAGCTAATAATAAATATAAAACAGGCGCGAAAAAAAAAGCTCCCTCGCAGCTAAGCAACCCGGTTGAGGGCCTTCTCGACCCGGAAGTGCTTTTTTCAGCACCGGAAGTCAGAGGCCGACGGGAAGGCGAAGCTACCACCGAGGCAGCGCCCGCTGATTGCGGGGTGTTTTCTCGAGTGCCTCGTAAGGAAGGAGGAGAGTCGGCAGGCAAAGCTAAAAGGCTCCGGAGGGCCTCGGTGCCGCGGCCAGCTCTCCCTACCCGAGCCCGGCTTCCCTGAGCGGACTAGGCCTTGAGTAAGTCAACAAAGCTCGAGCCAGAAGACCCGGATGCAGGGCGGGGCCTGCTGTGACGCTACGTGCTGAGCTGCCGGACGGTGCGCGGTGACGTCACGGCTCAGGAAGAGGATTGGTCGGTTGCTGGAGAGGGCGTGGCTCGGGTGGGGCCAACGGGTTGGCAATGCCAGCTGATGCCTGGCCCGCCTTGCAGGGTTGTTGTATGGGTGGAGACGAAGCTGGTTTGAGAGGTGACGTGATTTACTCGCTCTGCTCCTCTGGGGAGGGGAGGGGAGTTATGAAATTAGTACAGTGAGGGGAGGGGAGGAGGAGGGCTTCCTAGCGGCGTTGGACTACAATGCCCATGAATGAAGGCAAAGACTACAGATCCCATCTTCCTCTGAAGCTGAGCCAGGCAGAGCAACTCGGACTTGAGATGGGAAGCTTTGCCTTGGATATAAATGCAGATACATCCAGCTAGATTTGGGAAAGCTGGAACAGAAAGACAGTCCATCTACATGTAGGGGACCTAGTTTTTTTTTTAAAAAAAAAATAATAATATTATTTTTATAACTGGGTGGCTTACACTAGCTAACATATTTTAAAAACAAAGAACAATAGAAAAAAGCCCTACACCCAGGAAACCACACAAGGCGGAAGAAGAAAGCCAGCCAAGAAAAGGAAGGAAATGTCTGTCCAATCTCTTCTTAAAAACCTCCAGTGAGGGAGCACCCACAACTTCTGGAGGCAAGCTGATTAACTGTTCTCACGGTCGGGAAATTTCTCCGTAGTTCTAGGCTGGATCTCTCTTTAATAATGGAGAATATATCATGGTGACCAAAACTGGATGCGGTATTCCAGCTGTGACCTCACCAGGGCTGTATAAAGCAGTGCTCACACTCCATGTGACCTTGATGCTATCCCTCTATTGATGCAGCCTAGGACTGGGTTGGCTTTTTTTGGCAGCTGCGGCATACTGCTGGCTCATGTTTGAGTAGTGGTCCACTAGGACACCTAAATCCCCTCTCACGTAAGGTCTGCTTTTGAGCTCTGTTCCACCTATTCCATACCTGTGCATTTGTTTGGTTCAGACGAAAGAAACCCCGAGGCATAATTAATGCAAACCCCATTGCAGAGTTCATGCCATACTCAGCCACACCTAGGCGGACCATTTAATATAAGGTCTAAATTTAGCTAATGCCTGAGGTCTGATGCCAAATTTGCAATCATATGATATTTTGCTATTTTGCAGTTGTTCATTTCGACTAAGTGTACAAGATTAGTTATGTGCCACTTTCTTCTCCAGAACAGAAATCAATTGTGGAAATACAGCTTTTTTTTAAATAAAAATAAAATATGGCAGAGGAGGATATTGGTCATACAAAGTCCTTTAATCTTAGGAACTTTATATGAAGCTAGTTTGATGTAGTGGTTAAGGTGCTGGCCTCTTTAAGCTTCGTGCGAAAAAATCTTGAGAATTTGATGCTGGCTGGGGAATTCTGTGAGTTGAAGTCCACACATTTTCAAACTTGCCAAGGTTGAGAAACACTGCTATACTCTATATACTATGCTATGTTGTGCTGTACTCTGCTTTGCTCTGCTCTGCTATACTGTACTGTGGTGGCTGACATTCTCTTCAAGCTTCGTGCGAAAAAATCTTGAGAATTTTATTTTTCTCTCATGTTCTTTGTTTATACAAAAACAATTTGAATCTCTAGGCGTGGTTACCGTACCAGGATCAACATGAGTTTTGGGTTGTGAATTCCTGATGTGCGTGTGTATCTTTTCAGGTGAAAAGATATCCTGGAAACATGCCAGTTTTGCCTCTGGATGAACTCCAGTTTACAGAAAAAGATTCACTGACAGGGAAAATAACAACTTTACCAGCACTGGTAAGCAGAGTTTAAATGTACATTTATGCTGGATGAGGTGCAGGAAAAAGTGGAATCCTGCTTATAAACCTGGAAAACACGGGTATCTCCCTGAAGTTGTTTTTCAGACTGCAGACTGAAGAGCCATTGATTGAATGGCAGTTACGTTTTGTTGACTTCTGTAGCCTTTTTGAAATGCCATATATTGGGGAAGCTGCCAAAGCAATTTGAGCAGAAGCCACTGCGTCAAGTTAAAAATACAGGAAGGGACAAAGTCCGTTGACAGAAAGGTTCCCGTACCTAAATATCAGGGTGACGGTCGGGGGTCAAACATTTGGTAGTACCCTATACTCAGAAGTCAAGAGGACCCAAACTCGACTCAACATCCTGTCTCCATCAGGAGTTAAATACCGGCGTTAAGTCGGGCTTTAAAGAACGGCAATTCACTCTGTAAACAACTCACTCAAAACGGGCATTTCAGTCCTTTCTTGCCTCTGTTGTTAAGTGAATCAAAGCAGTTGTTAAATCAGTAACCTGGTTCCTAAATGAATCTGGCTTCCCCATTGACTTTGCTTGTTAGAAGGTCGCAAAAAGGGATCATATGACCCTGGAACACTCAACCGTCATAAATATGAGTCAGTTGCCAAGCGTCTGAATTTTGATCATGTGAACCTGCGGATGTTGCAACAAAGTGTGAAAAACGGTCATAAGTCCCTTTTTTAAGTGCCGTTCTAACTTCGAACGGCCACTAAACAAACTTAGTGACAGGAGGAGCAACTTGATAGGAGAAAAGTGGGACCTGCGTATCTTAGGAGGAACTGGAATGTGGTACAAATTAAGGAGGTTTCTGGAAATATTTAAAGCAAGGCTCTCTCCCCCTAAAGTGTGATGAGGCAGAAAGGCAGAATTGCCAGCATTTTAAAAAGACCAAACACGAGTTTGATGGTTAACCAACCTGGCCAAATTCTCCTGCAAACACACAAACTGTCCTTGGCGGACAAGCCTTCCAGAATCACTCAAACCAAGGACTACTGTTTTGCCTTGGGGCTCGTGACACCCACCCCCATTTTGTTTTCCAGCATCCCCAAAATAAAGCAGACCGCTCTTTCGTGCTCTACAAGCCCCTCCCGGGCACCGAAGACCCAGGCCTGGTGGAGGAGTTTTCGGAACGAGCCAGATTTATTGCAGAGGATCTGGATTGGCTCCTGGCTCTGCCTCATGATAAATTCTGGTGCCAGGTACCAGTTTTTTGGGTTTTTTGTTTTGAAAAAATGGGAGAAGGTGGAAAGAAAAGAAAAGAGGATTTTAGATAGAACGATAGAGGCGAGTTAAGCAGTGACTGAGACAGTTAACCAGTGGAACAGCTGCTCTCCCAGAGTTGTGGCTGATCCATCCCTGGAGGTTTTCATGAAAAGATTGGTGGAAGGATTCCCTACGACTCTATGATTCTGTAAGTACAGGAAGTCCTCAGCTTACGGCCACAATTGAGCCCCAAATGTCCATTGCTAAGCAAGGCAGTCGTTAGGCGGGTTTTGCCCCTTATATGCTAGAAAGAACGGTCTCAACAATTCACTCAATGACGTCAACAATTGAACCACCCCCACGAGAATCTCCTAGGTTCAGGGTTTTGCGGTCCCTTAAAGACCTTCGGACCGTGAGACTGGTTAGTCGGTAGTTCTCTGTGTATCTGTAATTGTTGTAGATATCTGATACGTTTTCTCTGTTAGTCGGTCCGGTTTTCCGAACAAAAAGACCCCAGCATCTCTCCACCAGCAATCAGCACCCAGATCAGCCTAGATTAACTCCAAGGTCAACATCAGACCAGCAATTAAGTAAAGAATACCCCAATTAAGAAACTGCCAACGAAGCCAACAGCAAACCAAAGAATCTCTAAGACCACTCACACCAACACTGACAGGGAAAGACACTAGAATATAAACTGACAGCAAACCGCACTCCTTACTAGCACTGGTGATGTTACCTAGTTGGGTCATGAAACGTCTGCTGGAAAACAAGACAGATCGGAGAGCACCAAGGATCCCTTTTTAGGATAGTGAAGCAGCCTTTTGACAAAGATTCCAGGGTAGTTTCCCACTGGTTGAAAAGATGGAAGAGAGAAAGCCTCTGATTGGGTGTGGCCTGGCATTCCCCCCCCTCCCCAATTAATCAGAAAGCATCACCGGAAGGGTGAAGGGAGATTCAAGATGGAAACCTCCCTTAACCAGGTTTCCCTCCCACACACACTCTTGACCAATTCCCAGGTGGCCTTTGCTTTCCTCCCAACAGGTCATTTTTGACGAGTCGCTCCAGAAATGCCTGGATTCGTACCTGCACTACGCCCCCCGCAAGTTCGACAGGAGGACGGAGCTGCCCGTTGAGTTGAACGACCTCGAGAGACACCTTCATCGGAATGTTTTCCTAACATTCCTCCGTATGTCCACTCACAAGGAATCCAAAGTAAATGCAGCTTGTTTGTTTTTTAAGACATGGTGAAAGCCTGCAACGTAGACGTGTTTCTGTTTGGAGAAGGGGAGGGGGGTGGAGAAAAAAAAGGGATGAAGGAAGGACAGCTTTCTGTTTACCCTTCTCAAAAGCCCATCCTTGGGGAGTCGAGGCTTGTTTTGAGAAAGTTCAAAGGCTCTTCCCAAGGCCGGCCTTTCACGTGTTTGACATTTCTGTGGATTATTGTTTTATGAATTAGTCATGCCATGTTGAGCCACTCAAAGGGCTCTTCAGAGACATGTGGAAGCATGCAGTTTCTAATCCCCTAGTAATCAACCCAGAGAGGCCTGCAAATTGCTTTGTTCTGATCAAAAGGCTGCTCTAGAACAGTTTTCAGAGATCTCCAGTTTTGGCACCTAAAGATACGTCCTTCTTTCTGAGTACAGTAGCTAACTCAGCTCAACCTTGTTCTCTTGTGGGGTCCTTGAAGCTCTCTGAGCTTGGTTGCTTCCTTGCAGGTGTTTCATCACCCAACTAGGTAACATCAAGAGGAGGAGGAGAAGGACTGTGGGATCCTTGAGGCTCTCTGAGCTTGGTTGCTTCCTTGCAGTTGTTTCATTACCCAACTAGGTAACATCATCAGAAAACAAGCTCAGAGAGCACCAAGAATCTCATACTCAATTTCCTCCTCTTCCTCCTCTCTCTCCTACTGATGATGTTACCTAGTTGGGTAATGAAATGTATGCAAAGGAAAGAAAACAGGTTCAGAAAACACCAAACACCCCACAGTCAACCCTGAACTACAAATATCCTCTTCTATGGAGTAGACATTATCCTGCACTGATGACTACAACAGAGACCCTTTTTATAGCTATCAATAAATGTCTTCCAATCTCTCTCTCCCTCCCCCCCTTTCTCCTGTAGGATCATTTCATAACACCGTCGGTATTTGGAGAGATCCTTTACAATAACTTCTTATTCGACATTCCCAAGATCTTGGATCTGTGTGTGCTGTTTGGAAAAGGCAACGGTTCCCTGCTCCAGAAGATGATTGGTTAGTTTATAGGATGGGAGAGACAAGGGTGGAAGACTGTGGGGAGGGACGGCGTCTCTTAAAACTGAGGTCTGATCTGTCTGAAAGATACGAGATTTATTCGTTGTTGTTTTTTAAATCCTCCCGTTGTTTATCAAAGCACTTTGCAGCAGCTTTAAATCATCCAGTAAGTAACAGGCTTCGCGTAGCAAATTAATCCCCCCCCCAAGGCATTTATGCTAAAAATAAGACATAACGTGTGCACTCATTTAAAGTATGTCCAGGAGAATTTTCTGGTTTTCAACGATTGGAGGACCAGGACCCCAATGCATTAAAAGGTCCCATAATTGGGACCCTAAGCTCTTCTTTCACCTTTCCCATTGGTGCCCTCATCACCCCCCTTGCTTCTGGTTATCATTTAACTAGCCTTTTCTCTCTCTCCTCTTCCTCTCTGCCCTGTCCACAGGAAATATCTTTACGCAACAGTCGAGTTATTTCAATGATTTGGATGAAATTGTGCCTACAATTCTTCAGGTTGGTTTACATCTTTGGGGATATTTGAGAGCTACTCAGAGACAATATATAAGTCCCTCCTCCTCCTTCTCCTCCCCCTCTCCCTTCTAGCATTGATGAGGTTACCTAGTTGGGTCCTGAACCCTCTGCAAGAAAGCCACCAAGCTTGGAGAGCACCAAGGACCCCACAGTTCAACCCTCCGTTATCAATATCCTCTTCCATCATTATCCATCTTTCCTTTGCTTTCCAGGTTTTCAGCAACATCCTCAGTGCTTGTGGCTTGCAAGGCGAAGGGGCTTCAGCTGATCCACAGAAGCTGGAGGAAAGGGTCAGGATGACTCCAAAGGGACTGCCTTTGCAGGTGAGGGCTGTCCAATTGCAGTGAGGCTGTGTTCCTACCCCCCCCTTGCCCCCCCATCTAAACACTTTTCCTTCAGCCTGCCTACGTCTTCAACTGGGCATTCCTTCTCTTGTCTGTCCTGTGACTGGGTGAGGCATCTTCTCCCCATCACATGTGCTTGGCCAGGCTTTTTCTCCAGCCACATGATTACAGTTCCGCTCTCTGTATCACTTCTAGCCATCTCCCTGAACAGTGCAGATTGACTGGAAGACTTTGCAAAAAAAAAGATGTCACTCCAGTACAGGTCAGAACAGGCCAGGAGAAAGGAGATGACAGACACAGGGAGAGGGTTTGTCATCATGGCACAGGTTGAGAACGTTTGAAAGTTAGAGACCTCTTCGAAGGTCAGCTTAAAAGAGCAGAGAGCAAGTCCAAAACGCCACATGAGCAACAAGGACACACGACTTTTTCCTTTTGACAATTTCATGAGGACAAGCCAAGTTCACCGACAAAAATGAAAACAACCAAAACAAAAAGGAACCCACATTTTTGAGTTGGGTCTCAGCTCTGTGGTTATCTTAGTGGGCATCTGAGACGATTCAAGAGGTTGGGATGCCAGAGATAGGCAAGTACAGTTAGTCCTCAACTTAACAACCATTCGTTTAGTGACGGCTGAAAGATCCAGTAGCCCTAAAAAAAAGGACTCATAGCTGATTTTTATATTTATGACCCTTGGAGCATCCCCAGGGTCTCAAGATTAATATTCAGACATTTGACCACTTGCAATGATGAGATTTGTCGTTCCCATCTATTTGGAACCCAAATTCAGGAAATACCTCTTTTTTTTCTCTCTCTCTCTCTCCCTCTCCTTTTAGGAGCTGAAAGATATTGTCCTCTACGTGTGCGACAGCTGCATTACCCTGTGGGCCTTTCTTGATGTCTTTCCCTTGGCTTGCCAGACTTTTCAGAAGCAGGACTTCTGTTTCAGGTATTCTTTTAGGCTGCCCGGTGTTGGTTTCTCCTGCCTTCCATGTCAGTTGAGCCTGGAAACCTTCTCCGCTTTTTGGACTCATCCAGCTGTTTGGAGTGGTATCATTCTGATGCTGTTAAGCAAGGGTGTCTAAAGAGTGTCCAAAGCAACATTAAGGCTTGTGGATTTCACAAGTGGGCAGGGCTGTGGAGTCGGTAGATAAATGTTCCGACTCCGACTCCTCAGTTTTTTGTACTTCTGACTCCGACTCCAGGTACCCAAAATTTCCCTCGACTCCGATTCCACAGCACTGCAAGTGGGACTTCAACTCTGGGAAGGCTGGGGAATTCTGGGAGTTGAAGGCCCCAAGTCTTAAAGTTGGTGGGGAATTCTGGGTGTTGAAGTCCACAAGTCATAAAGTTGGTGGGGAATTCTGGGAGTTGAGTTCCGCAAGGATTTAAAGTTGCCAAGGTTGGACCCCTCTGATCTATGGCTTGCTCTTTCTTCTTTGCCTGCCGAGATGTGTCTTCGGGAGGAGATACCGACAATTTTGCGGCACGTAGAGCCGTGCTCTTTTTTTTCTGGCATCCTCTGAGATCCATCTTAACATTTTTTCCCCCTATCTCTCCTTCCCCTCCCCGCTCCAACTTCAGCCATTTGATTGGCCGTTTGATAAAAGCCCACTCGCTCTTTTGCTCCTTGTCTTGCCAGGCTGGCTGCCTTTTACGAGCTGGTGATCCCCGAGCTGGAATCTGCTATCAAGAAACGGCACCACGAAAATATCAGGTTCGTGATCTTTGGCGCGACGGTCTCCTTTCTCATTATTTCCATTCATTTTCTCTGCCCAGCTTGGAAGGGGCTCTTGAGATCTGCTGTTTTTTGGCACCCATTTTTATCAGGGTTCTCCTGCCTTTTAAGCTGTGAATGTCTTACCCTAATTTCCACGACGGTGTGGGATTTATTTCTTCCTCCTGCCCTTTAGAGTCTTGTCAGATTTATGGAGGAGGCTGTCTCACTCTCGGAAGAAGATGCTGGAGATGTTTCACACGGTGGTCCACCAGCTGTGTCTTCAGCCCATTTTGGAAAGCAGGTATTCCACGTTGTAGAGCAGGGGGAGGCAACCTTGGCTCTTTTATGACTCGTGGACTTCAACTCCCAGAGTTCCTGAGCCGGCATGGCTCAGCTTGGAAACCTCTCCCTTTCCCCTCAGCATGGCTGGCTCGGGAATTCTGGGAGTTGAAGTCCACGAGTCATAAAAGAGCCAAGGTGGCCTACCCCTGGTTTAGCAGTTGAAAAAAAACAACAACTCAGCAGCAGCCCTGACCTCAGTCTTAGAATTAGTATCCCCTTCCTTGCAGCATTAAAAGCAGGTAAACACGGACTCTGTCTGTATCCTTCTCACGGATCATCTGCAACTCTCGTCTTGTTCTTACAGCTGTGACAGCATCCAGGCTTACATTGAAGAGTTCCTGCAGATTTTCACCTCCGTGCTTCAAGAGACGAGGTGAGAGATTTGGATGCAACTCTGGAACATGGTTAACCTCTCCAAATTCTCTGCCTTGCCGCCCTTTCGTTGCCGCCCTATATATATATATACCACATCCTTAATCCAATTCATCCCTCTCTTAAATTTATGCAATCCAGTGAATTAAAAAAAGTCTGGGGTTCATGGAGTAGAAGACCTGCACGGCCCCTTCCAACTCTGTCGCTCTGTTATTCCTTGTAAATCATGGGGGGGGGATTTGCGTCTCTCTGCTTTCAGGTTTCTCCGTGATTATGACGAGCTCTTCCCTGTGGCAGATGATGTCAGCCTGCTACAACAAGCCTCTTCAGCGCTGTATCCTTTGCCACTGGTGCGAATGCTGTCAATCCACCAACGACGGTTAAGGCCAAAAATATCGGCGGGCAAGTTTTGCAGTCAGAGGTAGAACCGGGGAAAAAATAAACTCCGTTGCTCGAGTTTGATCCTGACCGGCTCAAGGTTGACTCGGCCTTCCCTCCTTCCGAGGTCGGTAAAATGAGGACCCAGATTGTTGGGGGAGGGGAAAAAATAGGCTGGCTCTGTAAACCGCTTAGAGAGGGGCTGTAAAAGCACTGTGAAGCGGTACATAAGTCGAAGTGCTATTGCTATTGAATGTTCTGCGTATACGGAGAATCGGGAACCTGCCCTTAACCCCACTGGATAGAGATGAAACTCGAACATCCTACATTTTGCAAGCTGTGGAAAGCGCCTGGGACAAAACGGATAGAAGGAAAAAGATGACCCAGGATGCGGCCCTCACTGAAACCGCAGCCAGGGCCATTACAGTGTCCAGTGTCTCAGAGCAAACGGAACACGTTGAGGAAGAGGATCACCTGGAGGTCAGTCTTTGGAGCAGAGCATCAGCCTGCAACAAAAATGGCGGCTTTCTGGCTGATCTAGGCCCTTCTCCTCGGGGGGAGGCCTATCTAGGTCAGCCCTTTGCCAGCTGAGAATTCAGGAAGGGCCATTTCCAGCAGGGTGCCAGATCAAAGGAGGTGGCTTAAAATGTATAGGAAAGTTTGGAAGGCTCTTAGAGGACATAGTGCTTGCCTTCTTTCTGAGGACATCTACCATAACCTTGTGGAGCACAAAAGTCCAGTGCAGTGGGACAGAAAATCAGAATTTGGGGTAATGGATGGTTGCTGCTTTTGATTTAGTTGTATTCGGGGTGCTTCTCGGTTTGACTGTTTCCTCCTCCTGCTGTATGTAACGTGGCTTATTGATTTGACCTGTCTAGTGTGCTGGAGCAGCTGCAGCTCCCGTGGCCTCCGTCTCTGGAGTAGAGCTGGATTCCCTGATCTCTCAGGTGAAGGATCTGCTCCCTGACCTTGGAGAAGGCTTTGTCCTGGCCTGCTTGGAGGAGTACAACTACAACGTGGAGCACGTCATCAACAACCTTCTAGAGGGCAGGTTGGCCGTCTCCCTACAGACGCTTGACAGAGCAATGCCTAGGTAAAGTTGGAAGGATTTTTAAAAAAAATTCAGGGATGTTAATTCTGACCTATCCAACTGCTGCTGAACAGCTCTTCTCTCACACAAAATATCCAGGCTGAGCTGCCTCTTATTCCTCTGGAATGCAGCCCCTCCCTCCTGGGGGATCCGCCTTCTTCATACATTCCATCCCATCATCTGTAGACTTCCAACTCCCGGGATTCCTCAGCCACCATGTGTCAGGTCCTAAATGAAGAATGACACATGGTGATTCTTCCAAGCCAAGTTCCTTACGGTTTCATAATATCTTGCCAGACTGAGGACTCCACTCTCTGTATCACAATATACTCTGGGAACTCTTGAGGAGGAGCTGTCCTCGCCCTCTTTCTCTCACACCTGCTATCTCGGCTGAGTTGCCTCTTGCTCCTCTGGAATGTCCTCCTCCCTCCTGGGTGATCTACCTCACTACACTCCATCCCGCAGGCTCACATTCAGGCACCTGTTTTGTAGTCCTAAAACAGCGGTGTGTTTCCTGAAAAAAATGTGTTTCTTTGTATTCCTGGGAATGAAGACTCTTGTGACTGTTTCTTTTTTAAAACTCTTCCTGCCAGGCCTTTGAAGCCAGACCCAACTCCTCTTGTCAGCGCCCGATGCAACGTTTTCCAGGACGACGAGTTTGATGTGTTCAGCAAGGATTCGGTGGATGTCTCTCGGATTCAAAAAGGCAAGAGGTGAGCTTGCCCTGCTCCCATCCCATCCAGGGTTTCTCATCGGATCAGCTCAACCCCGAGCTGTTCTTTTCTGTTGGTATAAGTCCAGTGTTTAAACGAAAGAAAACTTCCTATTCCCCAAGACGCCGAGTGGTACCCGGATTTTGTTTGTTTCCTCTCCCGGTTGCAGGAGCGACAAAGCCACCACAAAAAGCTTAGTAAACGACAAGCGCCTGGTGAATGAGCAGAGGGAACGCTACAACCAGTATTCCGTGATTGTTGAGGAGGTCCCCGAGTCGAGCGGGTGTGACCTCTTCTCCCGGGAAGATTACGAGGACGAGTATGATGACACCTACGATGGCAACCAGGTGGGAGCAAATGATGCTGACTCCGACGATGAGCTGATCAGCAGAAGGTAAGCGGGAGACCATCTGCAACCAGTGCTTAACTGCCCAGGGCTGCAGCAACTCTTGGTCAGGGCTTCCTGCTTTTCCAGGCTCTTGAGTGGCCACGTGGACCTTCTCCACACCCTAGCTGGGTTCACAGGACCTGCAGAGCTTAATTCACCTGAGAAGGCTAAGCCGTGGTTTAGCATGTTGGCAGAACCCAGCCCCTTTCCTGGTTAGGTTGTTTAAACAAGACCAACACGTGTTGGGCACAGAGTATAAGGGGAAGGCAATTTGGTTAGACCAGGGGTCTCCAGACTTGGCAACTTTTAAGACTGCTGGGCTTCCAGCTGCCAGAATTCCCCAGCCAGCCAATTTCTGACTCGCCTGCTTTGATGTCCTTCGATTGCAACACAGGCTGGTTGTATTGTTAGGTGAGAGATCTTCTTATTTAAACCTGATGGTTTTTAGGACAGATCTTCTTGAAGATGCCCACCTGTCAGGCAGACAAGACAAGGGCCTTCTTCATCTTTCCCAGCCTATGAAGTCCACTCCTCTTTAAGGAGTAAGACAGGGCCTCCCCTCTTTCTGCTTGCAAGAAGAGGGCCCATGCAGGGTTTCAGCTAGGAGGAGCATCTCCTCCGTGTGAGCATCTGCTCAGGCAAGGTCTTGAGTAGGGCTACACTCCTGCCTCCCTTGTGACAATGAAGCTTGGGCCTCAAGGCTCTCGAGCAGTCTCACCGTGTGGTTGTCCCATCTTCCTGAAGGCCGTTCACCATCCCTCAAGTCCTGAGGCCCAAAGAAGAAAAGGAGCAGGAGGACGACGACGACGAAGAGGAGACGGAGGAGAAAGAGGCGGCCAAGGTGACGATTGGGAATGCTGGAGGGCGGGTAGAGGTTATGGAACAATCCTGCTGTTTGAACAGGAAAAGGATCGGCTGCTCCCGAGAGGTCAGGAGTCGCAGCTCCCATTCTTTTTGTTGGACAGTGGAGTCCCCGCTTCTCAAAGATGTTTCTTTTCATTGCTAGCAGGATCACTTTGTTCAAGATCCAGCAGTGCTGCGGGAGCGAGCCGAGGCCAGGCGGATGACCTTCCTTGCAAGAAAAGGGTAAGATTTCCCCCAAAGCCCCCCTCTCCTGACCTTTGTGCCATGTTTCAGGCTTCCAGTCTGGGGTATTCTGGGAATAGCAGTTCCCACCCAATTAGAAGGTACCAGATATTTAGAACTTAGAATAATAGAACTGGAAGGGACCTTGGAGGTCTTCTAGTCCAACCCCCTGGTCAAGCTGGAGACCCTGTACCATTCTGGACAAATAGCTGTTTAATCTCTTCTTAAAAATTAACAGTCTGGCTTTCTTTTCCTACCCTCCCTGCAGGCCAAAGCCAGATAACTCAGCCGCCGTGCTGGGCAGTGCCAAAGGCCGTGGCCAAAACCGAGACACAGTCCAGGAGCGACGGAAGAAAGAAGCCAGCAAGGGGACGAGAGCAAACCACAACAGACGCACAATGGCCGACCGGAAGCGCAGCAAAGGCATGATCCCGTCTTGAAACAGTGGCGCGCCAGGGTGGCTCCTTTTGCAAAGATGATTCTCCTGGGGAAGCACAAATCCACATGTAGATAAAATTACAGAGACCTGCAATAGGGCTGGTGCTGAGCAACTTGTGGAAATTGCATTGTCAATAAATGCTTTTCTTTAAACCGCAGGAGCTGTTTGAGTGATCCCATCTATTCATCTCTCAGACCTGTCCCACTTTTTGTTCTCCTAGGAAAGGAAAACTGTCCATATGATGGAAGGGAATCTGGAGTTCCTGTGCACCAATACAAAACTAACCCCCTGGTTCCCTGTAGTCCTCCCCCCCCCCCAGTCCGTCCAACATGTGTAACCGGGAAACACTTGAGGTGTTTGGGCTGGTGAAATCCCACTCTCAGGCCAAACAGCCTTGAAGGTGCCAGTACGCCAACGTGAACTGGATTCCAACCACTCTGTTTTTTTCCTCGACGGTCAGTCCCTCCTCCCAATTTCCCATCATAAAGGCATACTGCTTTATTGCCCATTTGTTCCCCCCTCCCTTGCCCGGTTGATGGCAGGATGCCACTGAGGTGCCAGTCCTGCTCAGAAGCCAGCTACCCTGCTCGGTCAGGTTTCTTCCCACTGTAGGGGGTCTTTTCTGACACCTACTACCCATATGAAGACCACCAAGGTCAGAGAGCCGTGAGTTCAGAGGGGAGCATCTCCCAATGTAACACTGATGACAACAGCTATGCCTGTTAATATTGAACTGGTATTACAACCCAAAGCTACAAGCAAGAGTAACTTTTGTTGCATCTGGTGCTACAACTTCAGTGCCTGATGACAGGATTGAAAAAAAAAAACCCCATGGCATTGGCCAAATAGGCACCTGAGCATGCCGCAACTTCCAAGCGACACAGGTAATACAGGATATAGAGTGCATTTTATTAAGATGCTTTTCAGCAAAAAAAAGTCATTTGAATCTTTTCATCACTTGGAACAGAGCACACTGGCCATCATACAAGGATGAACATTTGCTGGTCTAACAGCTGGCGACAAACAAAAAGGGCTATTGGTGAGAATGGTGGAGGATCTGACAGGAGTCCAGGGTTGCTTCCTGTGCCTCAGTCCTCCTTTACTTCGTATTTGTGCTTGATGTCCTTCCACAGTTTCTGCAGAGCAAGAGACACAAACAAGCATGGAGTAAGATAGGGATGACATTTGGGGATGGGTGCTTGTAACTAAAGAAAACATCATCCCTCAATGGCAGCCCACTCAGGATGCAGAATGGAATTCACTAGCATGTTACATACCCCACTCCCTGCCTTCCCCAAAGTACTTGAGGTACATAAAAGAGGAAACTTCAAAGGTAACAAGATTGTGTGTGAGTGTATACATATGGTCTATGTGTTTCTGTGCATGTACATATGTATGCACATATACTACATCGCTGTATGTGTACGTATGTGTGTGTATATGTGAAAGCCAGCTTAGTATGGTTAAACCACCCGGCTGGAAACTAGGAGGCCATGATTTCTAGTCTGCCTTAGGCACAAGGTCAGCCAGTGACTTTCTTTCAACCCTCCGGAAGAAGGCAACCACAAACCAATTCTGAAATCTTGCCAAGAAAACTGCAGAGACATGTCCAAGCAATCTCTAATAAAGGGAAATATTTGTAGCTCAGGGTTGAAATGAAGGGTCCTTGGTGATCTCTGAGCTTGGTTGTTTTCTTGCAGATGTTTCATGATCCAACTAGGGAACGTCATCAGTGCTAGGAAGGGGGGTGGGTGGGAAAGAGGAGTTGATGCAGGCATCTAGTTCAGCATCCAGCACTGATGTTACCTGAACGTGAGAAGCTTCTTGTATGAGAAGCAAAACATTTTCAAAGAAAAGAACTCAGAAAGTCCAGTTGCCTGTTGGAAAAGCACTTTTGGGGACCACCATGAAGTGGATGATTGTGTATCTCCACAGACAAAACACACAAAGGTATATTAAATTTAATATATAAATTTACCAAACAAATATGATGTGAATACACAGGGGTGGATATATGCATATATGTGTCTGTAAAGAGAGACCCGATACAGATAACACATAAAGACACACACAATGTTTTATTGGAAATCCTTTCGCTGTTTATTCCTTTCCTCCGTCCCGTCTCACTGACTAAAGACTAAAGAAGAAAGCACTAAACACAGTAAACGCTCAGAAAATTCATCCCAGGACTAAAACGGTTGCAGGATTTGGGTTTGGCTAGTCTGGAGAAAAGAAGAACTAGGGGTGAATCTTGTCCTCTCCCATCCCATCCCAGACTCCCAGAGACCAAAAGCCGAGAGCCAGACCCGCAGCGAAGCGCCTGCTTCTTTCCAAAAGGTATTGCCCGATACCTGGAAGCAGAGCCGCGCTGCTCGAGAAGAAGCGGCGCGACAGGCCCAAGCCGCGGCCTCAAGTAGACGCCAGCCGCGCCTGACCTTCAACTGTCTCCCGGCCGCCTTTTACGCAAGTCCCCGGCTGGGGCCTGCGCGCCCGCCCAGGCTGACTCACCCCCTCGTTGATGCGGCAGAAAATGGCCTCCGTGGCTTGGTCGAAGCCCCGCTCGAAAATCACGGCGCCCACCACGACCGTGAAGACCAGCGTGGACGTGCGGCGGAACACGAACCGATAGAGCTGCTCCGCGAACGCCATCTTGGACGCTTAGAGGCTTACCGCGCAGGCGCGCTGCTGCCTTCGGGAAAGACAAGACGCCCTCTGCGGGGACGACCGGAAGATCCTTGGGCCGGAAGCCCTGCGCCGCGCTGATTTCTGGGCTTTGAAGTCCGGTGGCCACAGGCAGCGCGCTCTTCCTTAGGGGAAGCCGAACTACGTTTCCCAAGATGCCGTGGAGTTCTCTGGGAGTAATGTAGTTCAGTTCTGAAACGGGAGGAGGGAGAAAACATCCGGACTGCAGAGCGACCGGAGAGGTAGGGCAGGTACTACAGTTCCCATCATCCTCACCCAGCCCTGTCCAGTAGCGCTTGGCCGTCTGTGAGCATCACAGGCTCCACCGAAATAGGGCTGCGAGATCTGGGCTGCGGCAACCGGATGACTCGAGAAGGCAGAACAGTCTAAATCCCAATAAATCTCTTAAATTTCAGTAAAAGTCAATGCAAAAAAGTGCCTTTGCCCAGCATGCTGGGCCTGGTTATCCCTGGCTGGTGTGTTGGCTTGTTTTGTCATCAAAAGTCAGCCTTGGGTTTTGCAATTCGCGGTGCTGATCGCCTTCCTGTGTGCTTATTTGGGTGCTGATTCGTTTTTTCTTTTTAAAAGAAAAAGCCTCTGCAAAAGCATTCGCAGCAGAGCCACCATGTAAACCATAAGGTGCATGGACTTCAAGTCCCAGAATTCCCCAGCCAGCATAGGTTTAAAACCCTGGGCTTCAACTCCCAGAATTTGTTTTAAGATGCGTGGACTTCTTTCCAATAATGCTCCTGAGTTTCAACTCTTCATATACTGCATTTTAACAGTATAGCTAATTGAACTCTTCATATACGTATCAGTTGCTGGAAGTCCCACTCGGATGCATTATTTATTAAATAGAAGCAGGGTCAGGGCTGAATGTACGTTCTATTCTGCACCAAAATGCCCGTTTTATTTATTTATCCGTGACATTTAAATCTAGGCTGCTATAATCTACACAATAAATTCCCCTTACAATTAGAACAATAATGATAACACAAATCAATCTGGTGTACTATGTTTTGCATCTAGCTAACCTACACATAAGTGCTTAGTGGAAGCAAAACGGGGCCTCTTTCCCAGGAATATATGCGAAGATGTCATCCCGACATGAGTTGTAACTTCTGGTTTTGCCTGCAGGAAGTTCCAGATTCAATTTTCAGCCCTGCAGGTGGTTAGGAAATACTCTTCTCTACAAACCGTGGGCACCGCGGTCTATTAGGAACAGCGTTTCTACATGTCAAATTTCAGACTTGCCAGTTACATCGAAGCCTAGCAAATTGGAACACAGTCACCCTTGTGTTAGTTAATGATTTCTGAGCTTAGGCAGCCAAAGCTGGTTGTGTATATTTGTGTGGTCTTTTTTTAAAAAAAAAAAAAATATTATCAGAATTTTACGATAGAAGTGTACAAGAAGAAGAAAAAAGATAGGCAATGAGAAAAAAGAAAGAAAACTTAAAATGTTGACTTCCACCCTTTTTGTGGATTGCCATCTTACGCTTTGACCGTGTTCAAATGGATTGTTTGTTTGTTTGTTTGTTTATTAAACTTCTGTGCTGCCTATCTCTATGCAGCTTGCAGTCATATAGTTAAAATACCATGTAAAAGATAAAAAATAAATAAGAACCACACATTTAAAATTCAATTGTATGCTTTATATGTTTAAAATTTGTTTATATGTTTAACATTCAGTTTTATATGTCTGCATGTTTAACACTCTGTTATATGTCTAAAATTCAATTATATGTTTATATTCAGTTATATGTCTACATATTTAACATTCTGTTATGTGTTTAAAATTCAACTATATCGTTATATATTCTTCTTGTTCTCTGCTGAAGCAGGCGGGATTTTTTTTTTTTTTTTGTACCTTAGAATAGCAAAGCTGGCTGGGGAATTCTGGGAATCGAAGTCCACACCTCTTAAAGTTGCTGAGATTGAGAGACATTCTTCCAAAGGGATATTTTCTTTCGCAGATTCAGCATGGGGAAGCGGTACTTTTGTGATTACTGTGACCGGACTTTCCAGGACAATCTTCACAACAGGAAAAAACACTTGAACGGGGTGCAGCATTTAAGATCCAAGGAAGTCTGGTATAATCTCTTTCGAGGTAAGAAACAGAACAGCTTCTCTGGTTTGGGTGGAACAGGAAGAGCTGCAGGTGTGCAAGGAGAGTGTCAACATCCAGCTCCAGGATCCAAATAAACACTCCAGGTTCATTCCGCTTCCGAAAATCTTACTGTTTATTGAAAGCACGTCATGGTAATGTCGAAGCAAAGCTAACTCTGAGGTTCCCAGACACCCAATTCATAGAATGAAACAATAATTTCTCTGGGCCAAACCCCCATCCTCTTATGTAGTCCATGTAAACAATTTCACTTTGCTATGGGAACCGTCTGCTTCCTTTCCACACCTGCTGCGGTGTCCTTGGAAAGGTTTCAGGCTTTCACAGTCTTCAGCGGAATCATAGAGGTTTTGTTTCTCCATCTAACCCATTCTAAAGCCACACACACACTCCTTTAATGGCAAGTTGAAACAAAGAGACGCGTAGCTGCCAAAGTTTCATTCTTGACAGAGAACTATGGAGTGTTCCAGATCTTTCTTCTACCCTGTCTGTCCATATGGCCATCTAAATGAACAGTTGTAAGTCGAGGACTATCTGTATAAGCCAACTCTTCCTCCTCCTTCTGTTTGTGGTTTTTTTTTTCCTATACAGATGCTGCAACCATCTTACAGGAAGAACAGAAAAAGAAACCTTGTCGGAAATTTTTGCAAACAGGTATGCATAGCAAGCTAATGTCATGTTAACAGTTGGATTTTATTTTTATTTTTTTATTGCTGGCTTTTTTTTTTAAAGTCATGAGAATTCATCCATCCTGGCTTGTTTACAATGATTTTCCCAGTAATCTGCATTAAAAGCATTTTGGAGAATAATCAAGGCTGTGGCGCCCCCTGGAGGAAGAACTGCAACTCCTCTGAACTGCGTCTGACTTGTCGCAGGCTCTTATTGCAGCACTTCCTAAACCTGAGTAAATTAGGCAAAATTAGGTAAAAGTTGTTGTTTTTTCTCTTAGGGTAGCGCCACACAAACCTGCTACCCATCACAACAGGGAAATTTGCGTCGGCTTAAAGATTGCCACGTGGGCTAAAATACATTTGAGAATCTCCCAAAGTATTTCTGTTGAGACAAAAACGAATGAAGTTACTAACGGCAACTTGTTGAAATGATAAAAATGATTTGGCGATCTTGTTTTAATAATACACGTGGTCCTCAAGTTATGACAGCTCGTTCCGTGAGCACTGAAGTTACGAGGGTGCTGAAGGAAGGCACTTACCAGTCCTTTAAGTTTGATAAGATTTTCCGATAAGCGATTTGGGGTTAATGAGAGAAAAAGTTTGGGAAGGACTGGCTTAATGGCTTGCCTGGATCCCTTCCTTGCAGGCCACTGCGATTTTGGTTCCAACTGCCGATTTTCTCATATGACGGGAGCAGATCTCGAGAAGTTGAACATGCAGGTGCAAGGTAAGAGAAGCAGAAGTGAGAAACAGCAGAGCTGGAAGGGACCTTGGAGGTCTTCCAGTCCAACCCCCTCCTCAAGCAGGAGACCCTGTACCACTCCAGAGAAATGGCTGTCCAGTCTCTTCGTGAAGACCTTTGCCACTGCTTCTAGAGGCAAAGCCGTTCCACTGATTAATTGTTCTCACAGTCAAGAAATTTCTCCTTAATTCTAGGTTGGCTCTCTCTTTGATGAGTTTCCATCTGTTGCTTCTTGCCATGCCCTCAAGGGCTTTGGAGAATAGATCGACCCCCTCTTTTCTGTGGTAGCCCTCAAATCTTGGAAGACTGCTCTCATGTCATCCCTCATCCTTCTCTTTGTTAGACCAGACATATTCAGTTCCTGGAACCGTTCATCATATGTTTTAGCCTCCAGAACTTTTCTTATCTTCCTTGCTCTTCTCTGCATTCTTTCCAGAGTCTCAACATCTTTTTTGTATGGTGGTGATCAAAACTGGGGAGGCGCTTGCTTTAAATCAGAGTAAATCTTACGTCCCTAATGGTTTTAATCTGGATTGGCTGTTTGTTATCTGTACTCTTAAAAGCTCCTCTAGTTTTTAAGCAGCTAAACTTCCTTCTTCCCCGCCTTTGTTTTCCCTCTTTTTTTATTTCTGCTCTGGGCAAAGAAGGTGGCTTTGGTGTCTTGATTTTACTGCCTGCTGCTACAATTTATATGCTGCATGATTTTCTTTTTCCTGATTGATGGTTGCATTTTAATTTTTATGGCTCTGGGTTGCAGACCGCCCAGGGAACTGTGTTATGTCGCTAGAACAGAAATCGATAAAACCGTGGCAGTCATTAAAACAGAGACACTGTTGTGTATCCTGCCCTAATCCCTGGCCCACGATGAAGCGTGTAGCATTTCTCTGAGAAAAACATGGAGAAAAGGTTAATCTTCACCAGCAGGCTGCACCCCGTAGCCATGCATTTTATTTTATTTTATTTCATTTCATTTCATTTCATTTTTTTATTTTATTTATTATTTTATTTTATTATTTTATTTTATTTTATTTTTTATTTTATTATTTTATTTTATTTTTTATTTTTTTATTTCATTTTATATTTTATTTATTATTTTATTTTATTATTTTATTTTATTTTTTATTTTTTTATTTCATTTTATATTTTATTTTTTATTTTATTTATTATTTTATTTTATTATTATTTTTTTTTTTTTTTTTTTTTTTATTTTATTTATTATTTTATTTTATTATTTTATTTTATTTTTTATTTTTTTATTTCATTTTATATTTTATTTTTTATTTTATTTATTATTTTATTTTATTATTATTTTTTATTTTTATTATTTTATTTTATTTTTTATTTTTTTATTTCATTTTATATTTTATTTTTTTATTTTATTTATTATTTTATTTTATTATTATTTTATTTTTATTATTTTATTTTATTTTATATTTTATTTTATTATTTTATTTTATTATTTTATTTTATTATATTATATTCTTTTTTATTATTTTATTTTATTTCTTATTTTTTATTTCATTTCATTATTTATTTTATTTTATTATTTTATTTTATTTTATTTTTATTTATTATTTTATTTTATTTATTTTACTATTTTATTTTATTTTATTATCACTCCTAAAATTAGGTAACTCTGCCTCTGATATCCTTAGCTATCAGATAAACCTGCCTTGTTTTATTTTGGGGTTTTTTCTTTAAACTGTCCTCTTTTGTTTTTTTGCATTGCTTTGTGTCTGGTGTTAATTCTTCTTTTTGATTTTTTTTTTTTTAATGGATTACAACCACAGAACGTTGGAATGAAATCCACGTTGAGCAATTCAGTCCACAGCCCCTTTTGGCATCTCCCAAACCCATGTTTGCTAGATGCTAGATCCTAGAATGAAGGCCCGATGGGCAAAGTGGGGTCAGATTCCACTTCCCATCACCCCTAGTCAGTGGAGAAGCATGATGGGAGATGTAATCCAAGGACCATAAGGGAATGGCCTTCCTTACTTGCGCAATAGCTCTCTCAGCCTCGCCTCTGCCAGAAACCGCCCAGAGCTTTGCCACACCAGCGGTCTCAACCGGCTTGCCCGGCGCCTGGCTCTCATTATTATTCCATAGGCAAGAAGATGAATGGGCTGCCACCGTCAAACCGGCACAATCCGTCACTCGGCTTGGAACAGCGGCGTTAATTTCCCCAGCCTGTCGGGAAATGTTTACCATTTTGCAGATCCAGCCCTGGCTCGGCTCGGACAGGTGGCTGGGAATATTGGAGAGGCGGGCAGACTTTGGCAGGCAGAGAAGGAGGGGGCGAAGAAGAAAGGAAAGCTCCCCCTCCCCCCAGAAGGGCAGGCGAGCCAGTTGATCTAGTGGTTAAGGCACCCGTCAACTAACCAGTTCACCGTTCAGGGGATCATTCCTCTCGCTTCCTTTTCTCGGCCTCTGCTGGTACTTCTCTCCTGATCTTAGGTGGGACAGTGCCAGCGAGAAGATCCCGTTTCTCAACCGGCGTAGGTTTGAGACAACCGGTCACTGAGCGTAACGGTGGTGGTAACGCTGAGCTGTCTTCTCCCTTTCCCTCCAAACAGAGGAGAGGAGAGCGAAAGAACAGCAGCAAGATGGGACGGTGCTCCCGGTGGGCACAATTGAGGCCTGGTTGGAGAAGCGTGCCAAGCGGCTGCGGGCAGCTCAACGGGACAGGTAGGCGTTCTCCGCCATCTGCCAGGGAAGCGGAAAGTTGTCTGGCCTTTGAGGTATCCCAGCTCCACAAAACAGAGACCGCGAGAAAGATTGGAACTCGGCTTTATGGATGGCGGGTACAACCACAGAATCTTGGAACGTTTGCCAGGATTTCCCTCCTGCTCATCTTATGCCAAAGAGAATCAAGGCGGGGTTATTCTGAGTCTCTTTCTCACCCTTTCTGCTTTCCGAGGGCTGCGTTATCGTTTCTCCTCCCTTAGCGGGTCATCCACTTTCCCCGAGGCCTGGTTGGGGCTGGGAAGGAGCAAATTTTATTTATGGATTATTATTTATTAAATCTGTGGGCAATGCAATCCGGTTCCCGTGCAAAACCAGGACATTGCTGACCCAGTTTGTACCTTGCAAATGCCGGTTAGAGCTTTTTAAACAGGAGTCAAGGATGCTGCTTAGGAGAAAAGGGATGCTGTGTTCTCCACCCCTGTGTTTCGTTTTATTTTTCGTGCCCTGGCAGAAGGTCTTCAAGGCAGGTGTGACCCACAGTCCCCCCCCCCTTTTTCAGCTCCAGGACACCTCAGCCTCAGTGGCACCAAAATTTGGTTGTGCAGGGAGGCATTTTACGAGGCGCAAAAGGAGCCCCTGAAGCTTTGCAGAATCATGCAAGACCTCAACGGTTGTTTGAGCAACGTCTTTATGCAGGTAAAATGACCTGCATGAACCGTTTTTTTTTTTCCTTCCCTAAATCAGATTTCTCTTTTCTCCTAGTCCTCATTCCGAAGAAGAACTGGTCTTCCAGTATCCACCGGGATGGCCCCCGGTTCAGGAACTGCCACCCTCCCTGAGAGCGCCTCTCCCGGGTGGATGGACGATCCCCCCAGGCCTCCACTGGGGCTGAGAGCTGATGGAGATGAAATGATGGACCCTTGAAGGCTGGAGGATTCTCGGTGTGCCTCTGGAGAAAAACAAGAGAATTTAGCCCAGCATCTTTTCAGAAATCCCTGCACCGCCGGCTAATTTAGAATTTGCAGAAAGGAGACCGAAAGAGAAGCACATTAAAGGACTGAACAAACTCTAGCATAATTTATTTAAATTGTCTCCACGAATTACTCACAGTTCCGGGAGACTTCCCTCGATCTGCGGTGCTCAGTCCGAGCAGCCAGGCCAGTCTCCAAAATTAAAACTTACAAAGAGGTTGCTTTTGATGGGCAGGTTTGATTGTTCTGCAACTTGACTGTCCCTCTCCACCCTCAGGGGTTGCTTGATTTAAGCATCAGCAAAGGGAAAAGTTACATACTAATGAGGATTAATTCTCTTAACAGGCACTGGGCACCTGCTAGGACCGGGGGCTGTCAATTTTCGTCATAAGTCGAGGACTCACCTTTCATCCCATTTCCCCTGCAGCCTGCTCATCCTGTTGACAGACCTGGGTTTTTTTTCAGAGCAGAAACAATAGGGATAAAATTATCAACCTGTAGAATTATGTGTGATAATGCAGAGCGGCGGAATTGCTTAGTAATTTGGGGGGAGGGACCCTGAGCAATCCAGAGTTTTGTGCGAAGAAATAAAGGGTATGATTTATTCCCTTTTATTATAAATGCCGTTTAGCAACTCTGTCCGTCGGCTGTAACAATGGAACATTATGGAACACACATAACACACACACACATACAAACACACACATACACAATTTTCTTTTATAAAGAAAAAAAAAAGCACATGCATAATCCACCGGCTTGGTCTTCCAATAAATCTTGAGGCTGTAGATATTATTTTAAATACCTTGACATTTCTCTGAATTGCTTTGGGGCTTAAGTGCTCTGGCTGTTTGGGGGAGTCACAGAGGAAAAAGGACAGCCCCGAGCGATGGACGTGGCCGTAGCCTCCCCTAAACCCACCACTCTCCAGATGTGTGACTATGTCTCCCTTAATGCCCAGCTACCGGCATTGTAGTCCGCCGTATCTAAGGATAGGGAAGCTTTGTGTGCTGTCTTGAGTCACACAAATGAGATAGCCATATGGAAGAGGAAGAGGAGAAAGAACAGGTAGATTTTCTCCTCCCTCTCCATAAACCCCCCTCCCTTCTAGCACTGATGACGTTACCTAGTTGTGTCATGGAATGTCTGCAAGAAAGCCACCAAGCTCAGAGAGCACCAAGGACTCCACAGTCGTTGTCCTCGTTTCACAGCAACTTGTCTGATAATTATGAGGAATGGAACCCTTTTCTAAGAAAGCCCAGATCAGAACCCAAAGAAGCTTTTTCACGAGGCAACAAATTCCATTCCCCACCATCCAGTCAGAGCTGAAGAAGCTTCTTGGATGAGAAGCGAAACGTCTTCAAAGAAAAACAAGGAAGTCCAGTTGTCTCGTGAAAAAATATCTTTGGGACAGCCATGACCTGGAGGACTGAGAATCTCCAAAGACACCCAGATAAGAAGGTTTATGATTTTAAGGTCAGATCTTCTCCTTATTCTTCTCCTGCTTCTCCTCCTCCTCCTCTTGCTTCTTCTCCTCCTGCTTCTCCTCCTCCTTCTGCTTCTCCTCCTACTCTTCCTCCTTCTGCTTCTCCTCTTCCTCCTCCTGCTTCTTCTCCTCCTCCTCTTCCCTCCCCTTCTTCCCCCTCTCCAAAGCAGCTGTGGAGAAGCCAGAATGACCTCTTACCAGACATTGAAATTGATTGCTTGCAGAAGCTTTTAAGAATTTGGAATTCAGCCAGAACCAAACTTATTTCCTGCCAGGACAGCCCGTGAATGTCTGTGGGCATCATCAGGAACCGAGCGAGTTGACTGTAACCAAGAATGCTGTAGGAAAGGGATTTGACCTTTCTTAGAAACGCTGTTGTGAGACGCACCCTCTCTCGTGCCCTCGTTCTTCAAAATAAATAAATAAATAAATTTGAGAAGAGCTAGAGACAAACTTAACAGACAAACTCTTGCTTAGCAGGTGTGTTTTTTTTTTCCAGTTTAACAATTGATTCATTGTGGCACAACAATACATTCATGGCGAAGAAAGCATGGGAATTGTGACAGTCTCTTTCATCTGGCCACACTCACAACGCGAACCAACAGTTTCGAAGTTGGACAAAGTCAAATGAGAAATAAGGCACAATAGCTAGATTGGTCAAGCTTGAAAATGGGACAAGCTTCACCGTTGGGACAGGCGACCCGGAGAAACAGTAGGGATCAAATTCTCCATCACATCAGAGTCTCCGTTACGCAAGGAACACCCCCAGCCTGGCCAGATCACACTTTGTTGGGCTTAAAGATGGCAAAAACAAATGATTTCAGGGGTGCCCTAGGATCTTTTATGTACACTGCTGCAAACTGGTTCTGAGGTTCAGTTGGGTGGAACTCAATGCTCAATGAATTCCTCGGCCAGTAGGAAAAAAAAAACCAGTTGGGTTGAAGTCCACTGGAGGATCTCCAGGTTGAAGAAAATTGCCTTCTCCTGATGTTGAGATTTGAAGGTAGAAAGCTCAATCAGAAGTGGAGACTCTGAGGCCTTCAGGAACAGAATAACCCACTGGCCACTGAAGAATTTCTTCACAACTTGTGTGGCCTGCTGTAGGAAACCCACCAGCAATGAAGAAGCAAGGCCCCACTAAAACTACCCCATAGTGGGCCAGTCTCCTCCTCCTCTTCCTCCTCCTCCTCTTCCTCCTCCTCCTCCTCCTCCTCCAGCCAACATTTCTGGTGCTTTCCAGCCAAACAACCCTAGATCAACATTCAACAGGCTCCAGTAAGCCCCACCCCCACCCCACCCCAGAAAAAAAGTGCATAGATGCTGGGGGGGAAAAACCTCCCAAGAGGAGGTAGGAGGAGGTTACAAACCGTTTTGGATTCGTGGTCCAGCCCTTGTTGTGTTGATGGTCATGCAAATGCCTGAATCTTGGATAGAAAATCCTGACGCGTTATATATTGCTTAACTGATTATTCGATTTATCATAAATATATATATATATTTATATATGTTATATATATAGAATATCTTTATATATCTTGTAAGGTCCTACTATCGGATTATAAAAGCACAGGGTATTGCATTACTCAGATCAGGAAGGGGGTGGTGGAAAAGGGTCACCATGCACTTAGACATGCTTCCAAAGTTTAGTTTAAAAAGTTCACCATGCGGGTCCCAATAACGCCCCTCGGCTTGGCCGAGTGGGACCCTCCCTGGGGAAGCCATGCTATCTGTTCAGAAGACAGCTGTCTCTCCTGGGAGGGGGAACCCCAAAGAGAGTCGAAAGGGAAGGTGACTTTGTCTCTGTGTTTGTGTCTGTGCACGCACGCACGCAGTTTGGCCACGGAGGAATTACAGTTTTCCCCAGCCCTGGGTTCTGGTGGCTAAAGGTAAAATTTATAGGTAGGTCTATAGATTTCTTCCCTCGCTTTTTCAAGGAAGTCCAGCTGTCCATTAATCCAGGCGTCGGTTCCTTCTCCAGAGGTTACTTCATCCCACTTCTCAGCACCTGGTTGGCGGCAATGAGCATGACGCTAATGATGAACGCGATGGCGAAAGCGCAGATGAGGCTTTTCCGGACGCACGTCTGCCTGATCTGTTGGTTCGAGCAGGCTGAGGAGGAAGTGGAGAGGAAGAGGGAGAATCGTAGGGCCAGGTCATGAGGAAGAGGAGAGAGAGGATAAGGAGGAAGGGAGAGAAGATGGGGAAGAGGAAGAAACAAGAAGAGATTATTGCAGCGTTTCTCAACCTTGGCAAGTTGAAGATGGGTGGACTTCAGCTCCCAGAATTCCCCCCGGCCAGCTTGGCTTTGAATTCTGGGAGTTGAAGTCCACCCACCTTCAACTTGCCGAGGTTGAGAAGCACTGGACTATCATCACTCTTAGTAAGAATGCTGATATCGGTTTTTTAAGCCAGTGTTTTTCGAACTTGGCAGCTTTGAGGTGGGTGAACTTCAGTTCCCAGAATTGCTGGCTGGGGAGTTGCCAAGGTGGGACACTTCTGAGCTAGAAGTTTCTGCTGTGGGTTTAAAGAACCCACATCTCCTCTGGGGCATGCAAAGCAGGAATCTGATGGCCAGTTTGTCTCTGGATCCGAGTCCCAAGACCAAGTCCACTTACTTTCCACGTCCACTGGACATTCCTCCGCGTTCCCCATGTGGCTTTCCTCCTCAGTCATGATGATGTTTTCAATGTCCTTCATGGAGAGGTGCTCGCAAAAGGTGTCGTACAGCAGCCGTTTCAGCTCATCGACCGTCAGCTTCTGCATGTCGCACTGCAGAGGAAGAAAGAGTATTGCACAGCTTCCGATGCCGTAAATGAGCTCAAGGCAGGCACAAAACACACTGGACAGAGAACCTGTGGGGATTTTGTTTTGTTTTTCTTAGTGATCCTGATTCTCCGATCCTCCAGAGAAACTATCTAGATAGGAAGTTCATGGTGTTGCAACCTCAGAGAACATCAAGAACCCAACATCTTCACTCTTCAGTCCTTCTGAGAAGTTATCTAGATATGGAGTAGATGAGTTCGTGGTGTTGCAAGCTTGGAGAACATCAAGAACCCAATGTCTTCATTCTTCAGTCCTTCTGAGAAGCTATCTAGATATGGAGTGGATGAGTTTGTGGTGTTGCAAGCTTGGAGAACATCAAGAACCCAACATCTTCCCTCTTCAATCCTATACGAAGAAGAGTGTCACAGAGACCTGGAATGGAGTCCCTCCTTACCTTCCAGAACACGGTGTCAAAATCAGCGCCATGAAACTTCTCTGGTATGCCAGAAGTGGAAAGCTTGGGTCCCAGTAACGTCACAAACTCTTCAAAGTCCACTTGCCCGTCCCCTAGAAATGAGAGGAACAATCACAGGTGACCTGAAGCAAGCATGAAGTTCAAGATTCATGTGTTGGTGAAAGAGGAAGGAAGGAAGGAAGGAAGGAAGGAAGGAAGGAAGGAAGGAAGGAAGGAAGGAAGGAAGGAAGGAAGGAAGGAAGGAAGGAAGGAAGGAAGGAAGTGTAGACTTCTTTACACCACCATCTAGGTATGTTGGGCTATGACTTGTCTGTGGAGATTCTCAGTCATCCAGGTCATAGTTATCCCAAAGATGCTTTTTCACGAGGCAACTGGACTTCCTTGTTTTTCTCTGAAGACATTTCGCTTCTCATCCAAGAAGCTTCTTCAGCTCTGAGCTGAAGCCAAAGGTCTTCAAAGAAAAACAGGAAAGTCCAGTTGCTTCATGAAAAAA